TTAGTCTACATTTTTAAAGTCTAAATCTACAATTTTATTTCACAATGAAATGGAAATATAAGGAATCAATGTCTAGTTAGTATAGTATAGTATGCCAGGGACATCAACGATAGTGGGAAACATGGGATAATTTATGAAATTTATATCCAATGTTTCCCACTATCGTTGATGCCCTGGCATACTACACTAATTAGACAGTTATTCCTTAAGAAATCCAGAACCTCGTTCTGTGATGAAGAGAGTTGTTATTGCTATTAATCATCAAGTTTTAGAATTTCTTAAATGAATGTCGTTTTAAGAGGGAATGTTAAGACATTTAACAGCACGCGTAATCATTAGTGTCTTTTTGATGGATTGACAAGCATGTAGATCAGCAATAACATATATTTTTATGTTCAAAAAATGGGGCTCTGGAAGTACGTAATATTGATCACACAACATCTAAGTATTGCTGTAGAATCGGATGAACTCCACAACATAAATTCCAGGTATCTTGTATGTACTTGATATCCGTGACGTATATGATTCAACAGGTATAACATTTTCCTAAACATGAAAGAATGATTTGTTATTTGACATGTAACATACTTTGGCTTTATGGATAGCTTTGTAAATGACTTCGTAGTGCTCTTTAGAAACCACAGTAACAGTTGAACTTGTTGCCTTTTCATGAACTATTGGTGCAAGAAATGATTTGAAATAAATAACTCCTAGGAGAGACCCCTGATTTCTGGAACAAGAAAAGAAATTTCCAGTTACTGTCAATGGGTAAAATAACTAATCCACTTCAGATATTCTATCTGAAATATATGTTTTTGACCACATGCTTACCAAGAGAAATCAAAGTACTTCATTTTCGGAGATACAGATAGATTTTAAAATATATTTTTTTATAAACTTCCAAACAGTTGAGGTTTATCATAGTGTTAAATCACTAGCCAATAAGATTTGATAAAAATTTACGATTCAATTATTCAAAAAAAAAAAAAAATTTAAATGTACATGAATATAACGGCCCAATTAACTAAATAATTTGTATACACGCAATGGCTTTGAAAGAAAATCAACTTTTTATATATTTTTAAACTTTTTTCCTTCGTGTGAATTGGGTTAAAATCTTTTTCATTTGGCAGATAATTTCTGGACTTCTTTTCGCTTAAAGCAATATGAGCTGCATTTTTGAAAATTTTATTTTGCTGTTAAAATGTGTTATTATGATAAATTTGTATGTAACTTAAACCTTTATGATTAGTTAGACTAAAATAAAGTAGAAGAAAGACTTCTATATACAATATAATTTACTGTTTTATGTAAGATATTATTGTACAGGACGACAGTAATGTAATTTTGATTCGTTCGAAGCTTATAAATAGTTCTTCCATCACAAATATGAACAACAGAAGTTTATTTACGTTATTTTTCTGTCATGGAAATAGTTATTTTCAATTTTGTATCAAAAAATTCCGACATCGAGGTTGCAGATCATATTGCTTTAAGGGCAATACCACGTGACTTCTTCTTAATTAATTTTTTTTCCTTCAAATGTTTAAAATTCATATCCGCGAATATTACTTCTTTTTAGACTTGTTGATTCATTTTTTCAACTGATAATTAGAATCTTCACACCAATGCGATGCGATGAATAGAATATAATGAGAAGGTCGATTCAAGTTACCAAATTTAACAGTACACGAAAAACAGTAATGTTCTTACAGTACAACAAAGCCCCCGAAGTCTCTGGAGAACAGCAATCGCCTGATCCACAACTGTTCCAGAAACTTGAATAAAACAAATCAAGCAGACTGTCATGTAGCATTAATCACCATTGACAGGGAACTAGGCGCCCCCTGTCGTAATGTGAACGAATTCAGGACCTTCCGCTCAAAACACATCCATAATATCGTCAATCAATTCAACGTCACATGAAAAGGCTCTGTTGTAATGAGATTCTAAAGAAACACGATTGTAAGATTAAAGAACAAAACAATTAAATATGTAGCCAATCCTGTACATACTAGTATGTTGGCGGCTGTTTTTAATCAGCAATCATTGCCTCTCTATGAAATATTTTCCCGTTCATTTCAATTTCAACTTCAGTACACTCACTAGATAAATCATGTACTAGTATTAGAGAAAAGGAAATATTAATGTAATTTTGAATAACAAGGAGCTTTTTTCTTTTTGTTGTTGAAAGGCACATTTTGAGAATACATAATTCTCCTTGGCACCCGATCCCGCCTCTGGAATTTACAGAGGTCCGTGTTTCATGCTATATTAACAGACTTTAATTATTCGTAGGCATTTAGATTTATAACTGCTTGAATCTTCAGTTAATTTAATTCACCACAGTATACGACAAAATAGAGCTAGCATCAATGTTTTATTGTCGAAAGAAAATCATTAATTTCTAAAACTATTTTGGAAGATTATCAGAAAGTTCTATTTGTTTTCATGGTTTTATGAGATTTGATATCAGATCTTAAAGTCGTATTGCAATCATTGTCTCTGAATAGACTCACAAACACTGGTTAATTTGTCTGATGCGGGCAGAATAATTGCTTTCCCACCTTTTAGTATTTTGAAATTGGAATAGTTTTTTTCCTAGCAAAGATCTGATAACTATTGATAAGAGAACCCGAAATCAGTTCAACAATGATGTGTTTTTGGTGACTTTTTATATGATGAATTTTGGAATTTTTCTTAAATGTCAACTAAAGAAAAAAAAACAAGTAGTGAAACGATTTTTTTAAAAATGTCACTACTTGTGCCAGTTAACAGACTTTATTTCTCAAAATGTTTTAGTGGGATATTGAAGTTCAATTCAAGCTTACATGTGGATCTTAGTGGAAGCTCAAAACAATGAAAAATAGGTCATAGGGATAGTGGCATATAACGTCAGATTATTGGAGGAAAATTATGTTGTGGTGTTCTATCCTCTCCTCTCGGAGGAGTACCCTTAATTAAACAATGTTATAAAAGTCTGACCTTAACTATCTAGATTCATCAGTTCATATAATCTTTATATTTGATCAGTGTCTAGACAAAGATTCTCTGTCAAAGCTTGTTATGTTATTAGCGTTTTGAGAGATTATGTGCACTCATTATTTTTTCGACAATCCGAAATTCAACTGACTATTTCATCTGGATAATTATGATTTATTTATTTTTTGGTATAGATACACTTTTTATGTAAACCCTCCTTTCAATAGATGAACCGAAATATGTTTAGCGATAACATTTAAAGTTTTTATTTTATTTACAGCTAATGTATACAGCAGATCTTTTGAAAATCATCATACATCAGATCATTTATCATAACTGTGAATAATAATAATATGTGTAGTGTTTTTAAAGTATATTCCTTAAATAGATTATAAATAATATCATAATATCATTTGTATTCGGATTTTTTACTAGAAAAGATGTTAATTTTATAACCTAATGTCAAAACTTTCTGTTTAACGTGATAACCTAAACTTTTTTTTCGTTAATTTCCCTTATTCATATACAAAGCAGTCTAGATTACTATCATGTACCTATGGAATTTATGTCTGCGAGATGATTCAACAATGTAAAAAAATCATGACAAGGAGGATACGGCAGGTGCTAAAGGTCGACAAGGAATGCTCACTCCATCATGGCACCTAATCCTATCACTGATGTTTAAGGGACCCGTGTTTGCTTTGCCCTCAATTTGTTTTGTTTCGATGGACTTTTGGGTACTGTTAATTATATTTTTTTTAATTATTTTGTCCAGTAACAAAATCTCGTGTAAAAAATGCATGATGAAATGCACTTTTAAGGTAGGAGCCCACGGCTGTTCAAAGATGTAATGTTTGTGCTTCAACAAGACTAATTCCTGAAAGAGAGTGGAACTTGAAATAAATACGAATTTTTAATCACACATATTGACTGTACTTTGCTTAAAATGTTTAGGTGATTCTAGTTTTATGCTCTTTTTCGCCACGATTGCTTTTTCTTAACTTCAATCTTTGTAATCCGTTAAAATATTATACCCAGCATAAAAGAAGGATGGTACGTACAGCCATAAAATGAATGTATGCATCAAAATATTTCTAATATATTTTGACGTACTTTTATAGTTGTTGATGCAAATATGAAATTCTTTAAGATTTAGAAAAAATGTACATTTTCTTCACTGTTTAAAATTCCACCTTTTAGTTAATTTTTGTTTGTGATTTCAGTGTTGAATCTATTTATGTGAAATTCTCAGAAAGTTGTATATTATGTAAATGCCTCCATTATTGCATTTGTGAAAAGGTTCTCAGAAGTCTTTGAACTCTTGTCAGTTGAAGACTAAAGACATGTACAATTTCCCTGAAACTTTTAAGTCATTCACCTTAGTAATCATACTGTCCAAATGTCCTCACTTTTTATCGAACAGCGGTTTATTAGAAACATTTTTAACACATTAACTTCAAACCCACAAAACAATCAACCTTACGTCTAGTTACTCTGACTTGCAGCAACAGGAATCTTATCATTCGGCCTGATCAGCTTTTCTAAAACTGTGCAATTGCCGTCTTTGAAAAGACGACTTTAATTTAAACAAGATATCCTTCAATATTTTAAATAATTCTTTTGTTTATCGGCGATATCCATAGTTCTTTTTTTAAGGATACATGCATTTTAATTAGTTCCAGATTATTAAGAAATTGTAAGGCGATACCTTTTATGACAGCCTGGAAGAATGGTGATAGGAATTTTCCATATATTCAAAACCAGTCCCATGACATTAAGTAATATCAATAGTGTTTTTATGAGAATACTGATTGAATTTTTCCAATCCTTTCTATGCCTTGATAATGCTATAACTTTTTTTTCTTTACTCCAGGTTGTAAGAATGTTCATTGTCATTTTCAGAGTTTTTGCAATTCTTTGATTGCTTTCATATTGTTATCTTTTCTCCTTTATTACAGGTTGTAATGATGTTCATTGTCATTTTCAGAGTTTTTGCGATCCTATTATTGCCTTCATAATGTTATTACCCCTTCATTATTTCAGGTTGTAAGGATGTTGATCGTCATTTTCGGAGTTTTTGCGATACTGTGGATGCCGTACAGAGTTATGGTGGTCTACAACTCTTTCGCCAGCACAAAATACAAAGACCCTTGGTTTTTACTGTTTTGTCGAATTATGGTTTACATCAACAGCGCCATAAACCCTATCCTTTATAATGCCATGTCTGTCAAATTCAGAAGAGCTTTCCAAAACATATTATGTTGTGGTAAGTGACTGTCAATTCTATATTGTGGTTAGAAATCTGGTGCATGGTGAGTAGTTTTTCGGTTCTATGTACGGTTAGAACTTTGGTGCATGTAGTTTTTACTTTTATTCTATCATGACAAGGAGTACACGGCGGGTGTGACCGGTCAACGGGAGTTGCTAACTCCTCCATGGCACCTGATCAGCTTCTGATGTTTTGGTGACCGTGTTTGCCCTGCTCCCTTTTTGTACTGATTTATCGGACTATTTATATCTCACACCTTGTGGTGGTAACTGAATAAGGCTTTTGATCTTACTATATTCCGTCCGATAGACAACTGCAGAAACATTGGATGTATTGAATTAATTTTGTCAATAAAAAAATAAACTGATAGATGCAAAAAGACTGGATCTGATATTTATTTGTATACCTAAATAAATATATAAGACAAGTTAATGTTTTGGCCAATGTGATATGCTTTGTTGTAAAATAAATCATTCTTCAATCATGGAGAGGAAAATTTTTTTTTAAGAAATCTGATGCAAAAAAATTCTTGTAAATGCTTGAAATATCCAAATCATTTTTCTCAATACCGAAAATCACTTTACATGGATGCACTTGAAATCACTTCTTGAGATCTAGGTTGCCATAGAAAAAGCGATTAGTTTTAGTTACCCTGACGACATATGCGGAATCATGGGATTTCTGAAATTAGAAAGAATGCCTTTTTAGTTTGCTGATAGATGGTGTGTTGTCTTGAGGAGTCATGTTTCTCCGTCAGAAATGCCTGGTCTGAATTCTGGAAGGAGAGAGGGGTCGTAAAATAAAACATCTGCTATTATATGAGTTCTTTGATTAATTGAAGCAATTTTCTTATAAAACTGAATAAAAAGTAGAACTTTCAAGAATCTGATTGCAGATATATATATCTTCACTGTTTACAGTAATTTTTTAGTTTCTTTTAGTAAAGAATATTATAAATGACAGTATGTTTGATGATTATTAAAAAAAGACAGCAGATATCCTAAATATATTTTGAAAACATCTAGTTTGGCAGCGATTTGGTTTAAACGTTAAATTTACAGATAGATACTCCACGGAGGATATTGCATTAAGTTTGTTTTCTGAATTCTAATTTGTCACTCTAAGACTACAAAAATGTATCAAATCCCGTGATATTGTGCCCACTTACAAAGAAATCAATTAAATACGTTGTTTTCTACGGTTAAGGAAGTAAAAAAATATAGATGGAATTCACGATAATATCATTACTAATTTTTAACATTACATTTGCAGGGGTTGGGAAGTTAAAACACGGATCGGATGCCTATTCAGAGTACACCATGGACCAAAGAGCAGCCATCAGACTAAACAACTGTCCGGGAATGGAAAAATCATATCTTCTAATGCCACCTAATTCTAAAAGGAAAAATCCATCCATGGAAAGCATTACATTGACTGAGAGTGACGGTGGACGGCCGACCAACTGACAAGGTGCGTGCCAGTTCTGAACATAGGCTAGGATAGGACAGGTCAGCGACACTGGAACCCAGGAAAAGTTGATTAGATGGTCAGGGAGAGAGGGAAACCCTGGCGATTTTGTCACATTTACGTTGATTTATTTTTGCGAAATGATCGTTGAGAAGGAAATAGGTTCTTCGATTTCTACTGAGAAATAATGTGAATAAACAGTGATCTACTAGTATCCACCGACTCCAGGACAATAGAGAGCCATTTTGAATAAGAAAAGGGATTACTTACTTCAAGTTAATATGGTGGTGATATTATGATTGATATTTCCAGAAATTGATAACAATACCGGCGTAACTATTTGTCAATGCCAGCACTTGAAAAGATCAATTTAAACTATGACTTATATTTAATTTAAAAAAAATTAAATTGTTCTCTCGATTTTATTATTGATTTCAAATTTTGTCTTTCGATTCTTTAATTTGTAAATGTGAATCAATTAATTGCGTTTTCATTCATCTTCCATATATTTTTATTAATTTTGTAAAGAATCAGAAAATAATGGGGTCTTTAATGATTTCCTTTGTGTAAATTGTATTTGACACAAAGATGTTTCTTAAAACACTTGAAATTTTTCAAAAATATTTAAGATGGGATTATGTCCCATATGGAGATAACGAACAGTATTCGAGCTCAAAAGTCCATAAAACAATATAAAAGCAAACAGGGACCTTTAAAACATCAGAGGTGGGATAAGGTGCCATGGAGGAATGAGCATTCGCTTCCAACTGGTCACACCCGCCGTGTGCTCCTTGCCATAATCGAGAAATAACGGAAAATCAGTCCTCAATTCAGTTTGTAAATAATGGACTAACAATTGTATGAAAAACGTCAGTCAGCATTTGATTCAATGATAAATTGTATTTACTGACGAGATCATTGTATTGTCAGCAAATACAATTTATCATCAAAGTCAAATGGCGGGTGTGACCGGTCGGCTGGGGATGCTCCCTCGTCCGCGGCACCTGATCCCACCTCTGATGTTTGAGGTCCCTGATTGCTCTCTGTTTGCTCTGCTCCTATTTTGTATTGTTTTATGGACTTTTCATCTTTAATACTGTTCGTTGTCTCCATATGTTTCAAATTCTTAAACATGAGAAGAAGAAAATACTTGATGTGGCCTTCTTCGTAAATTTAGATATATCGAGGACATATTATCAATTATTATGTTATTTTTTTATATGTCGACACGATATATCCCAGTGATTTTGAGACTAAAAATTCCGCAAATTTAGAGATAAACGTATATTTCAACAGACGTAGGTGAAAATTTCACACCAATATTACTTTGAAATAATTTAGGTGATGAAAAAAGTTTTCATCAAATGTTGGAATATCAATGTTATATAAAAATTGTACATGTCCAAACATTTACGTTGTATAAAACTCAAGGTATTTAATATAAAAATTTTGACTGATGTTGGTTCTCAGTTTATGGTATTGAATCCTGATCCGATCTCTGCTGTTTTGGAGGTCCGGTTTTGGTCTCCTCCATCCTCGAAAGCCAGGGTCCTGAGTCAACACGTTGTCGTTAGACGACTCTCCTCCTGAATTATATCGTTTAAATGGACTTTTGGTTGAATACTGTTCTTTGTCTCCATATATTTCATTCATGTTACCCTTAAGCGCTAGAATAATAATAAGTCATACAATTAAAAAAACTGTCGTATTTTGGAAGCTAGTATATCAGCAGAGACCAGTATTTATTAATCTAGAAACCTACTAGTAATTACTTAGACACTTCTAAATGACCGAAAACAGAACGAAGAATGGTTCTTATAATGCCCCTCAACGGCTTAATACGAGACCCTGGTGTCCACCGTATGTTTTATGTCCACTCTGAAAGTATTGAGGTATTCTCCAATTTTGACACAACTTCTGACATAATCTATGATAAAATTAATGATATATCTGAAATTTTGTTCCCAATTATAAGATTTCACAAAACGCGGACATAAAAACCATTGGTCTTCTAGGGTCTTGAAGAACTACAGTATAAAAAGGTGTTTTAAGTATATATAATATAATGTGCAAACTTATGAAATTATACCAATGAAATATATAGATATAATAACGAAGAGTATTCAAGATCAAAAGTCCATTAAACAATACAAAATAGGAACAGAACAAACACTGACAGTAAGGTCTATATCATATTCGCACCAAACTTTTCTCCGTCTCTTTAAAACTTTAAAATAGTCTTCTTGTATTTCCTTGTGTTTCCTATGTATTTCCTACAATTAACATCTACCATTGCTTCCAAACTTTTTAATGACAAGAAACTTTACAGGGCTTGGATAACAAACATCTTAAACATAATCCTCCTTCGTGTTCATGATCTTCTTCACCCTATAACTAAAACTTTAACAAAATAATTTTGTAAATGACCAATGACAAGGTTAGTAAATTTGCGAGTTCCATTTTTTATTGAAAAAGCAGCTGTCAGTAGAATACACGATCAGTACGTACTGGTCCCTGCTGACAATTAAAGCACGTAACAGCATTGTTTGTGTTTGTAAGGCTCATTTTATAAGTTGTATTTTAGAGGAACTTGGGTTTAATTCTACAAGTATTAATCCAACTTATACTCATAGTTTCCATTTTAAGGAAGAAATTCTTCAAAATCATTTGACAGTTTTGAATATTTTAAATACTCCAAACAACCAAAATGAATTTGAATTACCATATCTATACTGGATATCGAAACTTCATAAAAATCCTTACAAACAAAGATACATAGCGGGTTCCAGTAAATGTTCAACCAGGCCTTATTCTTGATTCCTCACTAAGGGATTAACAGTAGTGAAGAAGAAACTGCTCCCCTGTATTTGTCCAAAATCTTATACGTGAAAGAAGAAAACACTTGCAGTTACCTTCAACTCGACATTAAGATATATCGATATATCCCGGTAAGCTTGAGATAAAAGATACCACAGAGCCGGAGATATCTGTTTCAGATTGTTTTATGGACTTTTGAGCGTGAATACTGTTTGTTATCTCCATATACAACTGTATTTCAGAAAAAATTCTTATAGAAGAGTACAAGTAATAAGTTTATAGTTCAGAACCTTATTGTTGTTAACGAACACATGAGTAGAAACCAGAACAACATGTCTCTGTCAAAGCTATATTATCGAATTGAAAAAAAGTTTAATATTTAACCAATATTTAAAGTTTCACAGAATTACTGAGATTATAGAATTTGGCTTATGCATACCGTCAACAACGCACACATCATAAAACATTTCGGAACTACAGGTTCATTGCGTTCTCTGTTAGTCGTGTGACAAAATACCATTGCAGAATTTTAGCTAATTAGGAGGATATTGCCTCTCCTGTATCGACAATGTCGGTTTATTTAATCTTTGTCATCCGTTGTCATACATGTAGTATATTGTCATTAGCTATACTTAGTCTCTTGTGGGTAATATCTGTCTATGTGATTTCTTGTCAAACTTGTTACGATCGCTGTGCATCTCATAATGTTCTATTTCTGTAGGATAATCGTAAAGATTGATAAAATTCGAAATATTAATGAAACAAATTGACAAAGCAAGCAACATTTTCTTCTAAGAATTTGAGGCTTAACTTTAACAACCAATTAACACAGTGGCTGGTGTACATCCCTCTGTGCTAGACTGTTAATTCTGTATAACGAGGAATCTGTATCCAGGGAAATAAAATATTAATTTAGATGCAATGAAGCCAGTTGGTAAAATGATTGATATGACATTGTGGTGGCGTTTAGGTTACCCGGATGGATTCAGTTTTGGTGAGCAATTGAACATTAATGTCAAAACAGAGAGGAGGAAAATGGGTCATCAAAAACAATTTTCTTTAGAATTCGATATTTACTTGATAAACAGGCTCTTATATTTTTATAGCCTGAAATGTTCGTCTGAATTGTTTTTAACAAGAATTTTAAAAAGGATGAATCAGGCATAGTCCCTGTAGATCTGTTTTTGTACTGTATATAAAAGCTGTTACAGAAAAGGAGTATTATTTGAGGGAAAAAACAATATACATGAATAGGTCTCAGGGCTTTTATAGTGATTTCAATATAGATTTAAAAAACGTATAATTTTTCTTTTCTATAAATCCGTAAAATTTTTTTTTCTAAATTTGCTATTTAAGCCAAACGCCCAATGCATTTGGTTCCCTATGAAGCTTAATTGTCATTATCTCTTGTATATACTGGTTTAAGGTATTGCTTTTCATAACGGGAAAATTCATATCCTTGTATCCCCAACTTATTTATCTATAGCTTGACCCGTTACGGAAATTGTTCGTTAGCATGAAATATATGGAGATAACGAACAGTATCCAAGATCAAGAGTCCGTAAAACAATACAAAGTAGGAGCGGAACAAACACGGACCTCCAAAACAACAGAAGATCAGGCGCCATGGAGGAATGAGCTTCCCCTGCCGATGAGTTACACCCACCGTGTGCTCCTTGTCATGATCGGGAAATAACGGAAAAATCCGGCGTCAATTCATGTTCTTGCATATCGAATCAACTGACAATACAAATTTCATATGCAGCAGTTAATGGTATGTTTTCCGCAAACAATGAAAGTTGGCGATAGAAAAGTTGAAATTATCATTGAATGTTATTAGTTTGCTATTGCTGTATTTTTCTAGAAAAAAAAATTCAAGAGTGAAAAAGTTGTGTCAGGTCAGGCGCTATGGTGTCCTTTATTTCTAATACAAAGAGGTATATCGAATTCACGAATGAAAAAATCAATAATGTTAATAGATAGAAATCGATATACCTAAATGTCGAACTAAAGGCCACAGTGGGACACCTCCACTTTCATTTAAAAGTTTAAGAATAAATTCATTTTGTATGTGAATACAAAAAATGCCTGCTACTTATGGGGTGCAACTAACATTTATTGGAATTCAAACAGATTAGACTTGATCTCCAAAAAGTCTATAGATATTGTGGATCTTTTTTAAATGTCAACATCAAACAGAATGCCGTTTAACAAAAGATTTTTGCAGATGACCAGTAACA